CACTAAAAAAAGCTGATGATGAGATACTCAACACAATTAATTAATATTGTCAACCAGGGGAAAGGAATGCAAGCAAAAATAGGGAGAGAATATTGATGAATAAATAATATTTAGATAAGTTAGATGTATTCAAGTCAACAGGGCCTGATGAAATTCATCCAAGGGTATTTGTTTCAGCTACTTTCTTAATCTTGTTATCAATTATCTTTGAGAACTCCTGGAGGACAGAAGACTGGAGAAGGGTAAACATAGAACCTCAGAGATACGAACACCAGAGTTATGGACTGACCAGTCAACCGGATACCATGTGAAACCAGAAGTAACCAAATAGGCAGCAGCAGAGATAAAAAAAAAAAGCAAGTGCTGTACTATGCCTGTATTGCATCTTAAAGGTAGGCACATCTGGGCTTCCTGTTCCCACCCCCACCCACAGGATAGCCACTTACAGCAAGAAGCTGGGGCTGCCAGCCCAAGGCAGCTGGAGCTTTCATCCCCTCCAGGAGGGGAAAAACGCAAATTCACACGCACACCCTGCCCGGAGGGGGATAAGCTTGCAAACTCATGCTGGGGCTGAGTAGGGTGCTCAGCTGCTGTATCTGGAGCCGGAACTGCACTTTTTTTTTTCAGAATTACAACATTTCAGAGTTACGGACAACCTCCAATCCCGAGGTGTCCATAACTCTGAGGTTCTATTGTATCTTTAAAAAGAGGAACAAGGAAGATCTGGGGAATTATAGGCCAGTCAGCCTAACTTCAATATCTGGAAAGATACTGGAGCAAATTATTAAACAATCTGTTTGTAAGCACCTGAAGGGTAATAAAAGGTTATAAGGAATCATCATGGATTTGTCAAGAACAAATCATGCCACATCACCTTAATTTCCTTTGGTAGGATTACTGACCTAGTGGATAGGGTGGATACAATAGATGTGATATACCTTGATTTTAGTAAGGCTTTTGCACAGCACTGAATGACATTCTAATAAGCAAACTAGGGAAATGTGGTCTCGATGAAATTATTGTAAGGTGGGTGCAGAAGTGGTTGAAAGACAGTACTCAAAGAGGAATTATCAATTGTTCGCTGTCAAATTGGGAGGACATATCTAGTGGGGTCCCACAGGGGTCGGTCCTGGGTCCATACTATTTAATATTTTCATTAATTACTTGGATCGTGGAGTAGAGAGAATGCTTATAAAATTTGCAGATGACACCAAGCTGAGAGGGGTTGCAAGCACTTTGGAGGACTGGTTTGAAATTCAAAATGACCTTGACAAATTGGAGAGTCGGTCTGAATCCAGCAAGATGAAATTCAATAAATACAAGCCCAGAGTGCTTCACTTAGGAAGGAAAAATCAAATGCACACCTACAAAATGGGGAATAACTGGCTAGGTAGTACTGCTGACAAAGGTCTGGGGTTTATAGTGACCACAAACTGAATGAATCATCAATGTGATGCAGCTGTCAAAAAGGGCTAGTATGATTCTGGGGGGTGTATTAACAGGAATGTTGTATGTAAGCAGCAGGATGTAATTGTCCCACTCTGCTCAGCACTGGTGAGGCCTCAGCTGGAGTACTGTGTCCTTTTTTGGGCACCACAATTTAGAAAGGATGTGGACACATTGGCTAAGAGTCTAGAGGAGAGCAACAAAAATGATAAAAGGTTTAGAAAAGGTTTACTGACTTGTAAGGAAAGGTTGAAAAAACTGGGCATGTTTAGTCTTAAGGAGACCGAGGAGCAACCTGTTAAGTCTTCCAATATGTTTTACGGTCTGTTATAAAGACAATAGTGATCAATTGTTTCCATGTGCACTGAAGGTAGGACAAGAAGTAATGGGCTTGATCTGCAGCAAGGGAGATTTAGGTTAGGGATTGGGAAACACTTTCTAACTATAAGAGTAGTTAAGCTCTGGAATAGGCTTCCAAGGAAAGTTGTGGCGTCCCTATCATTTTAAGCTTTTAAAAACAAGTTGAACGAACACCTGAAAGGGATGGTCTAGGCTCACTTGTTCCTGCCACAGTGCAGGGGGCTGAACTTGATGACTTCTCTAGGTCACATTTCTATGACTCTATGAAGGAGAGATTAGAGAGATAGAAGCAGAACCACGGGAGTCCAGAGTCACAGAACCCAAGGAAGGACAAAATTTCAAGAACATGGTCAGCTGCATGGAATGTGGCTGACAGTATTCCATCCTTATCTTCCTTGACCTGAGTCTTTTCTGGCTATGAAAAGGTCATTAGAAACTTTGCTGAGAGCTGTTTCGGTTGAATGCAAGGGGCAAAAGCCAGATTGAAGAGGGTCTAGGATTGAACTGGAGGAGAGGAACTCCAGATAGTGATTGTAGACAGCATGTTCAATGAACTTAGACATGAAAGGGAGCTAGAGTGGTAAACTGGAGAGGCAAGTAGGTTCAAGGATGGGGTTTTTAAACTTTGAGAGATTAAAGCGTGCTTGTATTGTGAAGGGAAAGAACAAGAGCAAAGTGAGAGGTTAATGAGAAAAGCGATGGGAGGGATGAGCGTGCATGTGAGGCAGATGGGATAAGATCATTGGTGTAAGTGGAGAGGTTTAGAGAAGAGCAGGGGAGAAATTTCTGTGTCTGTGACCAGGGAGAGTCAGTCTGGAGGGGAAAGGAAGGCAAGCCCAAGGGAGGGAATTCATGATCTCATGCCAGCTCTGTAACAGCTGTAGAATTTGGTCAATGAATAAACTTTTTAGATAGTTTACTTTCTCGTGAAAGAATCCTCTTTTATTTTGTGTTTTCCCCTCCCCATCCTCCACTTCCCTGCATGTATCTGCCTGGTCTCTTGCACCCCTGACTACTTCTCTCTGCTGAAGTACGTCATTAAGGAAATTTCTGGGTCTGGCACTGCAGCTGGCTCTTGGTCTATATCTGCTGATATCTCCTGGCACTGACCCTTCCGGTGACGTGAAGCTCTTCTCCCTTTCTTTGCATCTCTTAGTGGAAAGTGCTAGGTTTACTGTTTCTCCTTTAAAGCTGCTTCTGCAAACCCTGTAGAAGCAGCTATAAAGTAAGAGCTTCAGCTAGCAGCTTGTGACCAGTAAGTACTCAGCAGACCACACCAGTTAATCATACTGTTCATTGTACTGTTCAAAATATTTTGCCCTTTGCTATTTTGATTAATTATTATGAGTAATTGCATATGTATCTACTCTGATTATGATCAAACTTTGCACTTCTAAGTTTCTCAGCCAGTGCCACAATTTTTCATACATTAATATATTCAGCTGTGATGTAAGACAATATTAAAACAGTTGTACAGATAAGAAAAATAAGGTGCAGAGTGGTTCTGTGGTTTAATCAGGGTTACACAGGAAGTGTGTATAGATCCCAGATCATCAATATGTTATCCACAAGACAAGTCTGACCCTCATTATTTTATATCATATCAGATGAGTCGAAACATTTCTGCCCAAGTCAGACTTGTCTAGAATCTATTCTCTCTAATAGTCAGGTTGTAATTGCAAGGGTCACTCTTGCTCCTCTACTTCTTTTGGGATGAATTACTTTTCTACTTTTGGTAGAGAATGCAGTGTATTGTTCTGTTGATGTTACTCTAGATGTATTATAAGATGTTGGCAGTAGATAAGTGAATCAGAATACCAAGTGCACATTTTAAATCCTTTATGTGGAAGAAATAAGCTGTTTGTCTAGGTCTTTCTGCTAGCATTTCAAAGGTCAACCATCATCAATTTTAATACACAAGCTAAGCAAAGAAGGTAGTAGTTTGGTAGCTAACCACTATCTTTTTTTTTTTTTTTTTACATTTAAGAGACATATAGATTTTTATATAGGTTTTTCCTCACCTCCCCCCCTCCCGCATCATATCCTCAGATATAAATTCTGTAGAACAAGAAAAGGGGGTTGACTAAAACTTGTGTGTAGGGTAAGTACTTCTGAAGAATTGACTTACTATCTATATTTCACACCTATCGATTGTTTTATCCAGCACAATCATAACATCTTTACCTTCAGCAACTATGCTTTTCTGTTGGATTTTATCCTACAATGGAGAAGGTTTTATTTGCCACAGAAGTGCAGCTTCTGTGTCAGCGGCTACACTTCTGTGACAAAGCTCTGGGTAACTTCTCCCCACCCTCATTCACTACACTTGAACAATTAAAAACATGCCAGACACTAAATCATAAAGCAAGGAAATGAAAAGGTAAGCCACCAAGCAGTACATAACTGTACTCCTTCACACACCAGCACACAGCTTACCGCTATCATAAACCACACACGTGGGTAAGTGTATTCTCTAATGTAACCACTCCTCGTACCCCAAAGGCTTTTTAGGTTAAAGCCAGCACCTTGAACTCCGCCTGGAATTTTATATATGAATCTTATAAAGCTCTTGAAGTAGGGCATTTATATGTTCTCTGTTTGAAACACTGATAAGTGGCTGTATTTTGCAAATTCAATGTGTTTCTGTAGCTCTCACCACAGCACAAGTGTACAGCTATGCTATATATTTTAATGTAGTTTCCATAGGGCCAGAAAGGGAAGAAAATCAACTGCTGTTCCCACCCAGTCTCTCCTTTCACCATGTTCCATGAACCATGCAGAGACATCTTTACAGGGTCTGAAGGGAGATGGGTTTGATTTCTCTGTGCATGGATCTAAGGGACATGATATAACCAATAATAATCCTTTATTTCTGCCTGACTGATTACTATAATTTCACTAGGAGGCTTCTACATACACTATGAACAGAAACTTTCACAAGACATTAGTGAAAAATCACCTAAGTGCAACTTGTGCCTTTGGTATTACTGTCATACTAAGCATAACTGAATCAAAATGTGAAATACAAACGCCAAACTCTAAATCGCCTCTTTTGTAAAGAACCTTTAAACATTCTTAGCTAGCTGTAGCAGTGATAACTGGAGCAAAATTGAGAAGTTACTGGGAGAAACCTTGCAGAGGGAAAACCAGGAGTACGAATATTGTATTTAATAGAATTATCATCTTGTTTATAGGGGCCGTGGAGGAGTGCCACCCCCACCAGCAGGTGTACCAAGAGGGGCACCAGCTCCCAGGGGAGTACCTCCCAGTAGAGGTCCAGTCAGTCGTGGTCGTGGACTTCTAGCCCCCCGAGCAAGAGGAGTACCTCCACCTGCAGGCTACCGGCCTCTGCCACCACCTCCAGCACAGGAAACATATGGAGAATATGTAAGTGAAACCTTTCATGGAGCTGTTGGCCACCACCAAGCATAATCTTCATTACTCTTGTAACAGAAGATTGTGACTATCATTTTAGAATTCAGTAGAAAGTCTTTATTCTGCACTTTGCTGAACCCCACACCTGAAATCTGCACCAGATTTGGTGGTCTCAGCATTTTTACAAAGATTTAACAGTGTACTGGATACCACATTCTTAAATTTTAGTGTCTTTACAAAATACTCTATTACACTTCGCTATCGTACCTTAAGATATAAATAAATCTAACCTGCAGTTGACAAATGAATAAAGTAGTTCCTTTAATGAATTACCCTGCTTTTTTCTTGTTCTTACTAACTTATAACACTCAAAACTATGTAATGGGTCAGTTGTCTAGTTGTAAATATGAATTAAACTTGAATAAGCTTTAAGAAGAATGTTAAATTATAGGTTCCAATGAAAGTGGTTTAAAAACCATGCAGTCAGCCATATACTACTTTTTCCTTATTTATAGGAATCACATTGTGTTATGTCTAAGCAGTTGAAAAACTTCCATATGTTGAAAATATAATATAAAAACCTTATATGAGAATCATAGAATCATAGAATATCAGGGTTGGAAGGGACCTCAGGAGGTCATCTAGTCCAACCCCCCTGCTCGAAGCAGGACCAATCCCCAATTAAATCATCCCAGCCAGGACTTTGTCAAGCCTGACCTTAAAAACTTCTAAGGAAGGAGATTCTACCACCTCCCTAGGTAACGCATTCCAGTGTTTCACCACCCTCCTAGTGAAAAAGTTTTTCCTAATATCCAACCTAAACCTCCCCCACTGCAACTTGAGACCATTACTCCTTGTCCTGTCATCTTCTACCACTGAGAATAGTTTAGAACCATCCTCTTTGGAACCACCTCTCAGGTAGTGGAAAGCAGCTATCAAATCCCCCCTCATTCTTCTCTTCTGCAGACTAAACAATCCCAGTTCCCTCAGCCTCTCCTCATAACACATGTGTTCCAGACCCCTAATCATTTTTGTTGCCCTTCGCTGGACTCTCTCCAATTTTTCCACATCCTTCTTGTAGTGTGGGGCCCAAAACTGGACACTGTACTTCAGATGAGGCCTCACCAATGTCGAATAGAGGGGAATGATCACGTCCCTCAATCTGCTGGCAATGCCCCTACTTATACGTCCCAAAATGCCATTGGCCTTCTTGGCAACAAGGGCACACTGTTGACTCATATCCAGCTTCTCGTCCACTGTCACCCCTAGGTCCTTTTCCGCAGAACTGCTGCCTAGCCATTCTGTCCCTAGAATGTAGCGGTGCATTGGATTCTTCCATCCTAAGTGCAGGGTCCTGCATTTATCCTTGTTGAACCTCATCAGATTTCTTTTGGTCCAATCCTCCAATTTGTCTAGGTCCCTCTGTATCCTCTCCCAACCTGCCACCATACCTACCACTCGTCCTAGTTCAGTATCATCTGCGAATTTGCTGAGAGTGCAATCCAGACCATCCTCCAGATCATTTATGAAGATATTCAACAAAACCGGCCCCAGGACCGACCCTTGGGGCACTCCACTTGATACCGGCTGCCATCTAGACATGGAGCCATTGATCACTACCCGTTGAGCCCGACAATCTAGCCAACTTTCTACCCACCTTATAGTGCATTCATCCAGCCCATACTACTTTAACTTGCTGACAAGAATACTGTGGGAGACGGTGTCAAAAGCTTTGCTAAAGTCAAGAAACGATACATCCACTGCTTTCCCTTCTTCCACAGAACCAGTAATCTCATCATAGAAGGCGATTAGATTAGTCAGGCATGACCTTCCCTTGGTGAATCCATGCTGACTGTTCCTGATCACTTTCCTCTCATGTAAGTGCTTCAGGATTGATTCCTTGAGGACCTGCTCCATGGTTTTTTCTAGGGACTGAGGTGAGGCTGACCTGCCTGTAGTTCCTAGGATCCTCCTCCTTCCCTTTTTTAACGATGGGCACTACATTAGCGTTTTTCCAGTTGTCCGGGTCTTCCCCTGATGGCCATGAGTTTTCAAAGATAATGGCCAATGGCTCTGCAATCACAGCCGCCAGCTCCTTTAGCACTCTCGGATGCAACGCATCCGGCCCCATGGACTTGTGCACATCCAGCTTTTCTAAATAGTCCCTAACCACTTCTTTCTCCGCAGAAGGCTGGCCACCTACTCCCCATGCTGTGTTGCCCAGCGCAGCAGTCTGGGAGCTGACCTTGTTCGTGAAGACAGAGGTAAAAAAAGCACTGAGTACATTAGCTTTTTCCACATCCTCTGTCACTAGGTTGCCTCCCTCATTCAGTAAGGGGCCCACACTTTCCTTGGCTTTCTTCTTGTTGCCAACATACCTGAAGAAACCCTTCTTGTTACTCTTAACATCTCTTGCTAGCTGCAGCTCCGGGTTGGCCCTCCTGATTCATTCTTACATGCCCGAGCAACATTTTTATACTCTTCCCTGGTCATATGTCCAAACTGCTCCAAGGATTTATTGTTAAGCAAGCTGGTCGCCTGCCATGTTTACTATTCTTTCGACACATCGAGATGGTTTGTCCTGACTAGGGATCTTTGAAATACAGCCAGCTCTGCTGGACTCTCCCCACCATTTTTCTGCCCTGCCTGTCCTTCCTGAACAGTTTATAACCATCCATCTTGACAGCTCCTCCAGCACTTGCACCAGGAGATTGTCCCCTACATTTTCCAAAACTCCTGGATTGTCTGTGCACCGCTGTAGTGCTCTCCCCCCAGATATCGGGGGTTATCCCCCATGAGAACCAGGGTCGATCTAGTAGCTTCTGAAAAATATTCCAGTGAGCACGCCCACTAATCACTCTTGTGTAATTCCTTGCCTTCACCAGGACCTCCAGTTCTCCCTGCTTGTTTCCAAGGCTTGGCAGGGCTTTGTGCATTTGTATATAGGCACTTGAGAGAACCTGCTGATCGCCCCTCATTCTCAGTATGAGGTAGGAGCCCTCCCCTCACAGATGTTCCTGCCTGTGCTTCCTCCCGGTATCCTGTTTGCCCACTTACCTCAGGTCTTTGTTCTCCTTCCCCCGGTGAACCTAGTTTAAAGCCCTCCTCACTAGGTTAGCCAGCCTGCTTGCAAAGATGCTCTTCCCTCTCTTCGTTAGGTGGAGCCCGTCTCTGCCCAGCACTCCTCCTTCATGGAACACCATCCCATGGTCAAAGAATCCAAAGCCTTCTCTCCGACACCACCTGCGTAGCCATTCGTTGACTTCCACGATTCGACGATCCCTACCCCGGCCTTTTCCTTCCACAGGGAGGATGGACAAGAACACCTTTGCGCCTCAAACTCCTTTATCCTTCTTCCCAGAGCCACGTAGTCAGCAGTGATCCGCTCAAGGTCATTCTTGGCAGTATCATTGGTGCCCACGTGGAGAAGCAGGAAGGGGTAGCGATCCGAGGGCTTGATGAGTCTCGGCAGTCTCTCCGTCACATCGCGAATCTTAGCCCCTGGCAAGCAGCAGACTTCTCTGTTTTCCTGGTCAGGGCGGCGGATAGATGACTCAGTCCCCCTGAGGAGAGAGTCCCCGACCACCACCACCCGCTTCCTTCTCTTGGGAGTGGTGGTCGTGGAACCCCCAACCTCAGGACGTCTCATCTCATGCCTTCCAACCAGCGGAGTCTCCTTCTGCTTTCTCCCCCGAGACGTATCATCTGGTTCACTCTCCGCAATGGTACCTGTGGAGAGAACATGAAAACGGTTACTTACCTGTGTCTGCATTGCTGGTACCCGGACATTTCCCCTTCTTCTGGAGGTCACATGTTGCCAAGCTTCTTCACTGGCTTCTTGGCTCCGCTGTGCAACCTGCTCTAAATCTTTAGAGTTTTGTGCCCATAGAAACATATCCTGACTTTTGTCCAGGAAATCCTCAGATTCTCGTATGCAACGCAGGGTCGATATCTGTTGCTCCAGACCTTCAATCTTCTCTTCCAATATGGATACTAGCTTGCACTTTGTAAGTGCAAAGTCGCTTCTGTCCTGTGGAAGAAAGACAAACATGGCACATCCAGTGCAGGTCACAATAGCACCCCCCTTCATATCACCTTCCTACTATGAGCTTTCTCAGAGAAGCTGGCAAGATGTAAGCCTCACTGGGCTCACCCCAGGCGAACTCCCAGGCAAACTCCTGCTGTGTGCTGCGCTGCTGTTCCCCGCTGCTCAGTTGGTCCGCTGCCGCTCAGCTGGTTCAGGGAGCTCTGGCTATTTTTAAACAGCCAGGCTTCCCTGAAACAAACAGACTCCCCCAGTACCCGCCCCCTGCAGGCTACCACCCAATCAGGCACTCGCTTAGGCTTTCAAACTGCCCTCCCAGCAAACACACACTCAGATACTCACTCAGCAAACACACACTCAGATACTCACCAATCCCAGACAAACTCCTGCTGTGTGCTGCTCGGCTGTTCCACGCTGCTCAGCTGGGTGATATCTGAGTTCAGGTCTAAAGGTCTGTTGCTACGAAGGCTGAGGATGTGTGTTTTATATCTCACAAGTGACCTCCCTGTAATGGGAGTCTCATATGGTCTTCCTTTGCTAGAGACAGCGTATCTGATGAATTAGATCTTCAGTCTATATCTCCCTTGCCTCCGTTTTCCTCCGCCCCCCCACCAAAAACACCCCCTCCTTTATATCACATAATCTTAAATATGTACCTGTAGTTTTCTGTAATTTTCTTAGGCCTGTGTAAAGAAAGAGAGTTGAATGTAGGCACTGGTTTAGGATCAATTGAGTGATCGACCAAAAGGATTCTTAATAGATTCATATAGTTAGCACATATGACAAAGTATGTCCTGTTGCCATACCTGATAATACCTAACTGAAGATTCATTGCTCACCCTGTGGCAATCAATGTATTTTATGATGTCTTTTAAATGTTCCTCATTAAATCTGTTCTCACAAACTATTCCCAAGGCATACTCTTCATTTCTGATGGCAATATATGTTAGAAAATAAATTGGTGTTT